TCACTGAATATCTGGCACCTACCAGAGTGCTTAGGCTTAGGAAATGTTGGTTCTAGAAGTGAATCAGTAGGAGAAGATGGAGTAAATCTGAAGGTCTGACCATGCCCCAGGTGTCCCTCACACAAAAGTGCTTGAGATTATTCACAGGGCACCTGGAGAGCCCTCTGAGAGGGTCTCCTCTCTTTTTTGTTGTTGTTGTTGAGGCCTTACATCTCACATTACACGCTTCCCTGCCTGAAAAGAGATAGCCTTTCACCAAGAAGCTAAAAGAGGCTGTGCAGCTGGTGTGTAACCCAAAACGGCTGCTTTTTGCTCACATGCCAAAGTGAGTTTTTTCATGTGGCTGATGGATATTAATAAATTAGTTAATATGCAATTGATTATGCTACACTGAGCTTCATGTTGAATATTATATAAGGTATTAAAAAAAGCAAAGTATTGTTCTCAAGAAAGAGGCAGTGTAGTTTAGTGAAAAGACTCTTGAATGGATATGGTTTGAAATCCTGGCTAAACTACTTATAGTTGTGTAACCTTGGACAAGTTGTTTGAGGATGCTTTTAAGCCTCACATTCCTCATCAGTAACATGGGGATAATAATATTCATATAAGGTTGCTCTAAGGATTACATGAGATAATATATGTATTTTGAATTCTCATTGTAGAGCTAGACTTTGAGTTTCCTCAAAGATCTTGTGATTTTAATCTCTGTCTTCATCGTCCACCTAAAAGTTTCTGGTACATTGTAGGTGTTCAAAAAGTATTTGTGGAATTAATTAACAAATTAAGTACATTTGTACAGAAACAAATTCATCTTAGCCAGTTTTCCAAGGAACAAAAAGAAAATAAATTAACAGATTTTTCATTTAAATAGGACTTACCATCCAGGCGATAATTAAATAAATCCTCATTCTAAAATGAATTCCTAAAAGCCTAAATTAATGGCTTTAAACATATATGTGAAAGCTTCAGCATTCCATGAGAAACTATAGCTTAGTTTTTTAAATGACTTGGAAGTTATTTAAAAGTAGAAGAAAAAATTGTCTCTGAGTTGATGATGCAAATTTGAGAAACAACTACAAATGTCTTGAAAGCTCATCATAAACTGTACGGAGTGTGAAAAAAGGATCCTCAAAGTTGAGTTTCACAGAAATCTGTGAGAGGGCTTGAGGCAGACTAGCTTGTTCTGGTCTGGTTAAAACACCAATAAAACTAGCTCAATTGCTTCTAATAAACCATTTCAACGAATGCAATATTGCAATGCCACAAATTTCTCTGCACATCTCATTATTTAATGGTGCTAAGAAGAAATCAATGTTGTTTAAAGGGGGCTAGCAGGCTACCTCTTTTACCCCCTGAAAAAGATGAACAATATTAGAATTTGTTAGCAGATTTTCAGTGACAAATTGTTTTTCAGCCATATAAATCTGTGAAAGCAAGGGCAGGGTCGGCTCAGATAAAGGTATTTTATGGGATACATTCATTCAAATTAGAGGAAAGATGTGTGTCAATTTACGTGTGTCCAATACATTTATATGAACAAATTAGCTTTTGGTTGTTAGGTAAACTATCCTTGAGCTTTTTTTCCTCTTTCTTCCTTGTCTACTCTTCTAAGAAGTGAAAGAGTTTCTCTATAATCATGTTCCTTCTAGTAGGAACAAAAATCCCAATATGTTAAAAAAAAGTCCTTGAAAACAAGGGTTATGACTTATTCATCACTGTACCACTGAGCACAGCACCTTGCAAGCACTAGTTACTTAATAAATACCTGTTGAATAGATGAATGTTGGCCTATTTCTTTTTATGATACCATCATTCAGCTAGTGACCTAGGCTCAAAATATAGTAACTGTTGATTCCTCCATCTCTTTCAGGCCTCCAAATCAATTAGACATAAAATCCAGTTGTTTCTTCCTTTGTAATATCTCTCTAATTCATTCCTTCCTATTGTAACTACCAATCTGATCTGCCAAAGTCTGCAGGGACACAGTGAAGTGGCCTTCCTTCTTGTTCCTCTTTGGCTCTTTAGCACGCACTTTACCAAATATTGTTTACTCACACCCAGTAGGTTATAGGAGTTCAGGAATTCTTTCTTCTCAGAACACTGGTCACAATTTTCCTATGTTGCTGATATGGAATTAATTCTTTAGGCTAGGCTGTGAGCCTTTGTTTTTTCTTTAGAATTTCCATCATTCCCATTCCCTCTTGCTTAAACCAAATTTCTGAGTACTGAGTTTGAGTCTGTGCCTAGTTGAACTTTACTTCTAATTTGTTTGATTCTTGAAATAATGACTCGAAGTCTGTTTTTTCACTTCCAAATTACGGTAATGCTTATCTATCATCTATCTATCTATCTATCTATCTATCTATCTATCTATCTATCTATCTATCATCTACCTATCTATCTAGCAATCATCTATTCATCTTTTTACGTCGCGTACTCATTTCCCCAAAATGAAATTTGAAGGGAGTTTACAATAAAAAGATTTCTAAAACATTACAGTTAAAATAAATATTATATTAGCAATAAAAACCCATTCACAGTTTGTCCACAATTTCAAGAGTTTTATGGGTCTATTGAGATTCATCCACAGAATCAAGATTAAGATCTTCTGATTTAGAGGAAGAACAAGAGAGGACTGTGGTAGGGATGTAGAACAAGGGATTTGAAACACTAAATTCAGCTCTGAATGTCCTAGAAACTAGGATGGGGAGAAGGTAAACTTGATTAGCTTCTCAGTCTCATTGTCAGGCAACAGTACTGTATAATCATCAGACTTACTCTTTAAAGCAGCAGATCTCCTGATTACCTCCTTTTGATGGGATAACAATTCAGTCTATTCTTTTCTAAGAACCTAACTTACTTCCTTGTATTGAGTCTTTCATTCTCAACTCCAATTTTCAATTGCTCATGACCCTTTCATGACACTTCCTAATTCCAAATCCTTAACAACTCATGCTTTGATTATTACAATATTCCTGACTGATTTCCTTGCCTTCAGACTCACTCCTTCCCCAATCGATATGTACACTATTTTCAGAAGATTTTTAGAAATAATATATTTGATCAGGGCCATCTCTAGTCCATCTGGTTTCTTTACAAAATTAGAAAAAGTGTGTTCCTTTCGGTCTAACATAGTTCTCTGGGTAAAAAGCTTGCCTTTTGTGAACTATAAAATTATACATCTTTCTCCAGGTGAAGCACCACTGTGCTTAGGCTCACTACTTGGCTTAAATTTGAGCTCCCATACACATCTTAGATGGTCACTTTTTTGCACTGCCCAACCATATCCAGCAGCCCTGGCTTTGTTTACATTACTCCTCTATGCTAAGATTTATTGGGGCCTCATGGCTTATAATAATATCATGATCATTTGATTTTGTCTTCCATATAAACAGGTCTGTAACAATCTAGAAAGGAAAAGACCCAAAAGCAAAAGAAGTTTCCAGAGAGCCACTTAAAATCTTACACCCTCAAACTATAACTATATCAACAGTAAAGGTAATATTTTGAGGAGGAATTAATGTGACCTACTTCAAATATTTCACCCACTTTTTGGTTTGAAAGCTTTGCTCTTTCTGCATTTAATGATGTTATCAGACAAACGTTTGTTGAATGGCTGTTAGTGAATCCTTCTACTAAGAACAGTCAATGTCAAGGTCATGAAATCCTGAGAGTTTGTTTTTGAAATCTTTACCACTGCTTTTGAACAACTTTCTCCATTTTTAGGCAATTTATTTCTCTTCTACCCATGCCCAAGGTTACCCAAACAACACATTTGCAATATGGTATTAAGGATTTAATGTGTTAAAATTATCATTTCAAAGACAAGTGTATGAAGAGGGAAATGCTTAACCCAAAGGAATACCTCAAAGAAGAATTTTATTCATCTTTATGGGAGACATTGTTAAGCATAGAGTTTCTAGTGACTTCAAATTATTCCATTTTGGTGACCCAATAACATTTTCCCTGATTCTTATTATCACCTTCCTATAGGAGGTTCCTATTATTACCATCCTTTAACACTTGAAACAGACAATATGGCAGAGCATAGCAATGTGGTCTAATGACTTCAATATGTCTTGGAAATATTTATCTCATATAGCTAGCCTAAAAATCATATTTGACTCACATGCACACATGCATACACACAAAGAAAAAAAGAAAGAAGACGACGATGACAGAATAAGATGGGTGTGTGCATAGCAGGAAGCTCAGTGCATTTTTGACACATTCTCTTTCCAAGTACCATAGCAAAGACACGTGACCTTTCATGTCATTAGATAGAAACAGCAGCCATTGCATCCATCAGATCTAAGGATGTCTGGAAGTATAGTATCTTCTGTAAGTTTAGCAAGCTGTGGAATAGCCTCCAGATAGCCTTAAGAGTAGTTCAAATAAATTCCCCCAAGAAGTGGATGCCTTCCAAGACTGCGAAGCAGGAAGAAGTCATGGTAAGGAGCAAAACATGTGGACAGTAAAAAGCAATGTTTAATGTTCTCTGTTAAAAAAATGATCAGCATTTTAAAGACATTACAGCTTTTTATTTTATTTTTAAACAACATAGTAAAATTCTAACAGTTAAGCTGGGTTTTTTTGCACTTTAAACTTTAAGAATAGACTGAGAAAACTATGGTAATATGTGGCAAATTAAAGTCAGATATTGTTTCTGAGTGAAATGTACAAAATCATGGAAACTCTGAATTTATCAAAGCCAAAATTTCAATTTTCTTTGCCCACAATATCCTCTGAGGGGAATGCTTTCCTAAACAACTGAGTGATGCTGACGAACAGTTCTACGTCCCATTAGAGGGAAACAATTTTGTTTTTTTTCCTGTTTTGCTGAATAAACTATGTAACTTCCTCTTGTAGCTGTACAAGCTTGCAGTTCTCTACAGGATATCTGGTTAGAAAGGGTAAGGTTCTTGTCTTTCTCTTCATACATTAAAAAATAGAACTTAAAAATCTGTGAATTGAAAACGACAATGTGAATTTCTGCTGCTTCCATGGAAAATGTAATCCTGAATCTGCTAACACACTACCTTTTGAGGGATGTATTGTTATGAAGAATGGAGACTCCAGTGAGGTAATATCTATTTATAAGTTTAAGTGGTTAAAATATTCACTGAAACTGCTGCATGCTTTGTGTAAGGAAGTGTGGCCGTCTAGGTAGAAATCTCCTTTCTCTACAATTTAATATGCTGTTGACATAAACCAGCACTCCGGACTTAAATGAAATACTGCTCCTAACAAATCTATGTTAAAATTAAGAGTGTTTGATTAAACGCATTTGTGTTATTGTGAGCAGTGGGAGGAAATCTTAAAATTTTAAATCCAGGGTTTTGTCAATCAAATTAAGTGGCATTCAGATGCTAAATACATTTAAATGCCTAAATCTTTTCATAAAATGAGACTTGACATGTTCCTTTGATTGGGACATTTCCCATGCATGCATTCTGGGGTGGGACTTGAGGGTTTAAAATGGCACAAAAGGATTTTCATCAAGCCCTAGAAGCTAGCACAGCTGTCAAATCTCAGAGGGGCTGATTCTCAATTTACGATGAACATTTCCTTGGATGTATTTTTAATTTGAGAACATGAGAAATATTTTAGGAAAGGGCTCCAAGTGTTGTGCTGTCTTTGTTAGAGGAATTCCTTCCATTTTCCTTACTTGAAATAATAAAATAACTAACTCTTGCCCTTTATAAAGGCCGGTAATTTCACAGTTGGAGTTTGATTCTTAAGTATGTAAGATTCTTCAGAATATATAAAAATTATATACATTTAAAGAAGTTAGTATAAGCTATCTACGATATCAGTGAGATCTAGTCATACTGATACCTTCTCATGATGTGAGCAAATTAGTGTATTTTGTATATACTGAATTCCCCCAGATTAAAGAGTTGGAAATACTAAATTCCCTTTTAGTAAAAAATGACTCAATGAAGATTTTTACAGTGAAATATCAGGATAAAGACTTTATTGTATTACTAGCTTTATTTTCCAGAAACAAAATGTAACTAACAGCTGTAGACTATATGAGCATGACTCACAGGATGGCACTATCTGCATATTATGTTTGCCAAGTGGCACCATAATGTTAGTTATTGAAAGCAGCTCTGCCTAATCTCTCTGACCACAAGTATAGGTGGGACTTTTCCTCTCACCTGTTGAAGCTGTTCCAAAGTGGCTGAGAATTGGGACAGTGTATGAAACCCAGGCAGGCTAGGCAGCTGCAGGGCTTTGGGAACCTCCAAAATTGCTGGGGTCAGCAGTGCTCCTCAGACTGATCTTCCCCATAAATTGTGTTTTGGCGGGATTATGAAGAAAGCCCTTCTCGGCAGACTTGAAAGCTCCAGATCAAGTGTTTTCTTCCCAATCTGCTCCCCTTTCTCCATTCATCAAGCAAGTAACTGAGGAGGAGGCTGATCATTTAACCAGCTTCTGAGGCTGGGTGGGAGGAAATTTAACCATCTCTGTTTCCCTAATAGTAAAGTTTAGCCTAAAACTGGTGCTTAGTAGAGACTAGGCATTTACTGAATTGTAGAGCCCTAGGGACAGGGAGAATTTGCTGTTGGCTGACTCTGTGCTTAGGTCTTTCTTTCTGCAGCTGTGAATGTGAGTGTCCTAGAAGATTGAGAAATTATTCGCTAGAGCTCCAGGCAGTTTTCCACTTGGTCAAAATTACTGCTTAAGATTGGAAAATAATACTTGACGATAATTTTTGAGGGCATTAAATGATAACACACTACTAGAATTAGACTTACAAACTGGCAACAGCTTGGGCATATTATTTTGAGACTGATGTGTCTCCTAGCCCTACTATGTGTCTGCCTCCAACCAGAAATGCTGCTATTAGTAATCTATTACCAGAGATTACTTACTGCCTCTCTAAATTCCTATTTCGTGAAATATAAATGTTCCTGAGAGTGGTAAAAGGCTAAGCAAATGACAATTCAGTAAATGAGTTTATGAACTAGATTTATCAGCCAGCTGCTAGATTTTTCTCAAACAAGGAAGATTGACACTTCAGAAGGTATTACGTGATTGAAAAAAGGGCAATGAGCATGTAGAGGAGGAAGAACTATCTGTCTACCCTCTAGGTCCCTCTGGATGGTCTAAGAATTAAATTGACATGAGATAGAATAACAGGAGAAAATCAAATAAAGTTGAATAACATATATACACGGGAGAACCCCAGCAAAACTGAGTAACTTGCCAAAATGGAGGAAGCCACCACCTTAAATACCATTTTCAGCTAAAGACAAAGGAGGATGTTGGGGATAGTGGTTTCGGACTTCAAAGGAGAGGAAGGCAATTTACATGGAGATGGAAAAGCAAATGTTTGGTAAACAAATGTTTGCTGGGCTATATATAGACAACGTGAACCAAGAGAGAGAACTTTTTGATAAAAATATGCGTAGCAAGGATCCTCCCGGTTTAACATACCCATAGTTTTCTGTGGTGATGGTCTGTCCTGGGACAGGCCTTCTATCTTAAATTCTTTTAGGCAGTTAGGAGAAAGGTCAAAGTTTGTTCAGAGTCTTTTGGTCTTAAAAATAATCAAGGGGCCAGCCCCGTGACCTAGTAGTTAAGTTCAGCATGCTCTACTTTGGTGGCCTGAGTTTGGTTCCTGGGCATGGACCCTACACCACTCATCAGTGGCCATGCTGTGGTGGCAACCCACATACAAAATAAGGAAGATTGGCACCGATGGTAGCTCAGGGCGAATCTGCCTCAGCAAAAAATAAAAATAATCAAGCCAAATAGACACATTTTGGGATGGCAAATTCTGATCCCCCACAGGAGCAAAAAGAGAGACAATACAGGGTAATGGAAAGGGAATTTTAATGACTTCACACATCCTGCTTGCTTACTAACTAGCCAGAAGTGTATAATGCACATATTCCATACCTAGCCAACAACCTATGAAGATAACTATGAACAGCACAGAAAGTGAGCAGTGCCAATCATGGGGTTAACTTCTCTTTTCTGACTTTAGACTAGATCAATGCTGTTGCATCTCTGTGGGCAAGTCAGAGATTACAGAGCTGGTTGAGACTTACAATGAAATTTCCTGAATGTCTCGCCTGAGAGCGGGCTCTGATGGGAGGTTCAGCTCAATGGCTGCAGAATGAGCACATGTTTTTTCCAGAGAGGGTTCTGAAGGATTTGTAATTGTACTTGCCAAAGCCAAAGAGTTATTTGTATATCAAACAAAATGAAGCAAAAACCTATTTCTCAATTGTGAATCAACATTCATGACAATGAATAGCATGAGAAGTCAAGATTTGGTAGATCATAAGATGATTTCCTCCAAAATGTGTTACACATGAAAAACCTGAGATAAGTCCTTTTTGATTGTTTTTCTCACGGAGCCAGCCAATTGTGCTTCAATGCATCTCAAGAGGAAGTCTTTTTTTTAACTTTTTATTTTGAACTATTTTTAGACTCACAAGAAGTTAGAAAAATAATATAGAGCATTCCTGTGTACCCTTCACCCAGCTTTCCTCAATGATAATATCATACAAAACTATAGTACATTATCAAAAGCAGGAAACTGACATTGGTATAATGCTATTAACTAGACTACAGACTTTATTTAGATTCTGCCAGTTTTTATATGTACTCATTCGTATGTGTATGTGTGTTTGTATAATTCTATAAAATTTTATTACACATATATAATATATGTATTATATATAATATATATATTTGTGTAACCATCACCACAACCAAGATTCAGAACTGTTCCATCATCTACCAGAAAAAAAAATACTTTTTGTGCTACACCTTTTCTTCACAAATTCCTCCCATCCCTAACACTCTGGCAAGTACTGGTATGTTCTCCTTTCTATAATTTTGTCATTTTGAGGATATTATATAAATGTAACCTTTTCAGATTTTTTTTTTTCACTTAGCATAATGCCCTTGAGACCTATGCAAATTGTGGTATGTATCAATAGTTAGTTCATTTTTATTGCTGAGTACTATTCCATCGTATGGATATACCACAGTTTATTTATCTATTCACCCACTAAAGGGCATTTAGGTTGTTCCCATGTTTTGGATATTACAAATAAAAGCTGCTATGAAAATTCAGGTATAAGTTTTTGCGTGGACACGTTTTGATTTCTCTTCAGCATTTACCTAGATGCCAGAGTGGAATTTCGGGGTTATACAGTAAGTGTATGTTTAGGTTTGTAAAAAACTGCCAAACTGTTCTCCAGAGTAGTTGTATCATTTACCATTCTTAACAGCAGTGCATGAGAGATATAGTTCTTAATCTTAGTCAGCACTTGCTGTTATCAGTATTTTCATTTTAGATATTCTAATAGATATGCCATGGTATCTCACTGTGGTTTTAAATCACATTTCCCTAATGACTAGTGAAGTTGAATATATTTTCATGTGTTCTTCAGTGAATTGTTTGTTCATGTCCTTTGCCCATTTTCTAATTGAATTGTTTCTTTTCTTACTGTTTAGTTTTAACTATTCTTTAAATATTTTAGATGCAAGTCCTTTTTGGATATGTTGTTTGCAAATATGTTCTCCAAGTCTGTGGTTTGTCCTTTTATCCTCTTAACATAGTCTTTCATAAAGCAAAGTTTTGAATTTTGATGAAGTCTAATGTATTGATTTTGTTTATTTTTTGGATAATTCTTTTGGTGGCATTTCTAAGAACACTTTACCAAGCCCTAGATCCTGAAGATTTTCTCCTATGTTTCATCTAAAAGCTTTACAGTTTTATAATTAGATATATAATCCATTTTGAGTTAGTTTCTGTATAGGATGTAAGGTATAGGTCAATATTGGTTTATTTTTGTTTGTTTATAGATGGATGTATAATTGTTCAAACATCATTTGTTGAAAGTCTATTCTTTATTGAATTTTGCACCTTTGCAAAAATATCAGTTGGCTCTATTTATGTAGATCTATTTCTTCATTTTCTATCCTGTTTCATGACTCTATGTATCTCATGCTCCATCAATACCACACTGCCTTGATTACTTTAGCCATATAGTAAGTCTTAAAATTGGGTACTGTGATTTCTCCAACTTTATTTTTGTTTTTCATAACTGTTTT